ATATATGTATTTCAATAAATATATGTACTTGATACTGTCTAAAATATTTTTACTGATGAAATTTCTAATAAATCTGCAAGAATTCAGTTTCATTTATTTATGTGGCAATAAATTAGTAAATGTTAATTTTTATACATGTTCATTTAGAGAGAGAAGCTAGATTATTGATTATTGTACAATGTCTGCCAGAGTGCTAGGAATTTGTGTATGTTTATATTACATACTTAGTACATATTTGCACAAACTAACGTAGCAGACAGTCGCTAGCTTCAATTGTGCCTTAAGTATTATTTCCTGATTCGCGTCGACACTTAAAACTTGGGGCCTTTATAAGCCCAGGCTAGCAACGAATATATATTTCAAGTTCCATTTGCCTCTACCTTCCACAAACGCAAATAACTTTGCTTTTAAACGTACGAACGTACAAATGCTCAAAGCACATATACTTGTTTCATTTTGTGAGCGGGCATAACGATAACTATGCCCAAGAACTATGCTCATTTAGGGCGTGACGCTCCCAAAATCTATACTTAGGGCGTGTCAAAGGGAAGAAATTCAATATTTATAGAGTTGGAATCATCAATTTTTGTTGGGGTAGATAGCTGTTGTGGCTTATTCATAGATAAGTTTCATGTTTCATGTTGGGTGAACAGTAGACAAAAATTTCCATATAATATTATTAATTTGGGGGATTCTTGGAGTTTTTATTTAAAATTAAAAATTTGTTATGTATGTTATGCTGTTGTTTTTATTTTGTATACCCTGTTTTCTACTATGTATTTATATACAACAGAAACAATCAATGCATAATTTTTAAAATAATCTGTACCTTAATAAATCGTTTTAATTATATTAATTGAAGCTCCTGTTGGCTATCGTAGGCAGGCAGCGCATATGATAAGTGAAATTTAATGCACTTAAGATATTTATACTGTGTAAGCGTATAAACTAATATTGATTCACATATCTCAAAAACAAATCCAGAAATATTCCCTTTATCTTATCTAGTAAACATACGTAGAGGAATTCTTAGTTATCAACTATACTCCACATATGATATATCTGATATACTCAGTTTTCAGAATCGGCAATATTGGAATATAAAAGTTGATAACAGGAATATGCAAGTAAAGCATGACATTTACAGCTCATAGAAATGAGCTCTTTAATCTAAACGTGAGTCAAGCCTCTATACCATTTATAAAAAGTTATATTTTTAGTGCAATTCTGTGTTGTAAATTATATTTTGGCATTACAATAATATTTATTATAAACATTCAAGATTTTTGAATTTATAAAACGAAAACTATCCTATATAAATTTGTTCTATTTTTGCTCATTTTTTGCAGGGTATAGAATAAAGCTATTGAAAATTAAAAGCTGAGTGTAGATAGAAGAACATTTGTGTTTTTTATATACATTCAAATTAATTATAGAACATTTTTAAATAGTAAACAAAACGTTTTAGCATTTTCAAAAATCATGAGCCGAAAAGAAATATTTTCAAATTTATGGACATAAGTTGTATAGCTAAATTGGCAGATTTTAGGGAATTCGAATTATGCGAGGAACTTAAAGGGCAAAGCAGAAAGCATTCAATCGATTCAAGTTAAACAAATTTGCGTGCTTCGTGAAGCACATTATCTTGCCCGAAGCGGCGTGCATGAACAAATAAAACAAATTACTTCCAAATAAAGACAGAGGCAGCAATTTATCAGATATTTTACAATATGTATAGTATATAGATAAATCTATAAAACGTTTATTATTTATGATGTGTAGGAACGCAATACGGAAACTAGTTGTAAATTTTTAAAATCCTACAAAGTTTTAGCTTAAGCTCGCAAGGACAATGGGACCGAGCGCCCTTTAAAGTCATAAAGTGTTGAGACGCCGACCTTTGAGGGGCTCGCACGCCAAAGGATAATTACTGTGAGAAAGGCTTCCTGCATAAATATTTGAAAAGTTCAAGGCGTCGTCGACAGTGCCTGGCACATGGCAGCACGTGGCAGAGGCTGACTGCCTCAGACAGCCTGGGAAAAACTGAAAGGGAAGACAACTTGTTGTCGAGCTAAACCCAATATTTTGCCCTGTTGAGCGCTTAATAATTCACTCGCTCGGAGCGTGCGAATTGCCACATGACCTGAACTGAAAAATATAAAAAAAAAAATGAAATAGCTAAACCAAATTAAATTGCACCCAAACAAAGATATTTGAATGCGCAGTCGGCTGCTCGGGCAGATTTATGGACAACAAGTGTTAGTGCTGCTTGCACTATGAAATGCTAATTGCCCATTAAACAGTTTTGTTATACTATCCAATTTATTTTGACACCCGTCTTCCCCCAACGCAGCCCCATCATACATCCAAGCCAATCCAATCTAAAGCGAATGCAAAATTCACAGTTGGCTCATGTGACGTATGCGTAATAACACTTCGGACTGACACGCTGGAGGCGTTTTACGCAGATGCCAATGGGAATTGATGGCAATACTTATTGCATTGATACCCTGCGGCCCCAATATGATGAGCATATTAGATGGGAGTGTCCGAAGAGGAAATACCGATAAAGACAGTTTCTCAATTATAACAGGAATATATAACTTTGTGGCGTTTGCCTGTTATATACTTTTAACAAAACCATTATACCCTGATTTCCCATTGAAAATGGGTTCAGGGTATAAACACAAATAAGAGAATCGAGATCCCGACTACGGGATATCCAGTAATATTGTATCTAAAGAACAACAGAAATGAGTAGAGTGAGATACCAAAAGCTACGCCCCGCAATAGCTAAAAAGTATACAGAAAGCAAGTAATTGCAGAGAGTAGTCGACTAGCTAGTACCCCGGATTGGATCTTTTCTCAAACTGAAATTTATTCATACATACCCATAGGCATACATATGTATATTCTTAAATTGATATTGAATTGAAATTTACCTACAATGAATTATTGCAAAATATCTGTAGTTTGCAATATGAACGAAGCAAACAACATCTGATGCCATACATATTTGCATCAAGAAAGGGGAATCAATATGATATCGATAATCAAATAGGTTATCGAAGACACAAAAGAAATATAATACTGTATTTCATATAAATATAAAATGTAAAATCACTAGCTTTTATTGTTTACCAGTTATGGACCAACAGAAAATGGTAAAATGGAAATTTTATTAAAGGAAAGCTATGTACAAATTGTTTTCTTGTTTACCCAATTTTGATTATACTATCTACCTTCCTTCCACCCATTACAAAGGCCTACACAAAACTACAATGGCCACCCAACTGCATGTTCAATATTGCAGGGTATACTAAGCTCACAATTGCCATTTTGTTTCGTGGGCGTGCATAAAAATAGCTGACATTTGGGACAGGTCTTCTTAATGGTGGTATATATGTCTCGCAAATTTGAGACATATGTTGGCAGGTGCTTTAATTATATATTTGCACTCTATAATTTACAATTCAATTAGATGATTAATTTTTGTTGAAGAAAGCATTTTCAAACACTAAGGCTTCTTATAATGAAGTATATAATGTTGTTCTTGGAATGAATGCATGCATAAAAGTTTAAAAAACTGTGCTCAAACTAAAATGCTCAAAAAACTCATTAGCAGCTGTTGAAGTGAATTTTCTTTAAATGATGTACGTAAAATTCGAATTCTTGAATTGATAGCCTTTTACAATAAATAAAGTTAATTATTTATTATT